TATCAGGAACTGGGGCAGGGGAAGGAGAACAGGGAGTTAGTGTCTAATGAGTACATAGTTTCAGTTTGGGATGATGAAAAAAAGTTCCAGAGATGGATAGTTTCAATAGTTATACAACAATGTAAATGTACTTAATGCCATTGAATTATACATTTAAAAATGGTTAAAATGGAAAATTTTATGTTATGTGTATTTTACTACAATAAAAAAAAATGTAAAAACTGTTACTAGCTCAGGGCCATACAGAAACAAACTGCAGACCACAACTGGGTTGCAGGTCACAGTTTGCTCTGAATTGTAAGCCCCACTAAACAAAATGAACAAAATGATGTGAAAGACTTAAAAATTTTTCCAAGTCATTGTAATTAATTTTTATTTCAATATGAACATGTTACAGATTTTCGTATTTATTACATTAACCAAACTTTATAAATACAACTATCATATTTATCAAAAAGATACTTGAGAGAAATCCTTTAAGACAGTGTTGAATGTATACAGAGACATATAGACATATGCTACACATACAAGTATCTACAGTTTTATCGGTTATAGATGTTGAGAGATATCAGTCTGTAGAGATGAGTAAACCATTGGGTCTTCAACGAAGCTTAAAATGTAGCCTGAAAGATGTGGTAAGTAAAGCTGAAACTTAATGGGCAGAAATATTCAGTTTCAAAGTTCATATTTTAAAGTCTGATATTACAGATTATACCGCTTTCTTTCCCACTCATTTGGTACTTGGTAGGCCATTTTCTCTCCCATTTTAGAGGAGGAGAGAAACTGCCATATTACACAATTAAGCATACAGTAAAGACCTGCTCAGATCGCTCTACCCAGCATTTGCCATCATTTTATCTAAGACTCACTTTATTCTTTTGATTGGTTAGCACAATCTCGACTATAAAGGCAACATTTTCCTAAAAAGAAAAATCCAGAAGCATCCTATCTAGACTTAAATTCAACTCAAGGCAAAAAATCACTCTAAGCTAGAAGCTCTTTCAGATAAGGTAGAGAGAATATGAACACATAGAAAATAGTTATCTATTCACTAGAACAGATGCATAACAAACAACCCTAAACTCAGTGAAGTAAAATGATTTCATTATGCTCGAGTTTTTTGAAACACTCTTTTTGAGTAGTTTTAGGTTTACAACAAAATTGAAAGGTATAGAGAATTCTCATATACCCAGCATCTCCATACATTCATAGCCTCCCCTATTACCAATATGTTTACCAGAATGGTACTTATTTTTTTAACCAAGGATGAACCCACACTGACACAGCAAAATCACCCAAAGTCCATAGTGTACTTTAGGGTCCACTCTTGGTGTTGTGCATTCTATGGGTTTGGGCAAAACAATAATTATATGTATTCATTATAATATCATATATTTTCACTGCCCTCTGTGATCTTCCTATGTTTTTGCCTTTTCCAGAATGTGATATAGTTGGAATCATACAGTATGCAGCCTTTTCAGATTGGCTTCACTTAGTAATAAGCGTTTAAGTTTCTTCCATCTTTTCATAGTATGATAGCTCAATTCTTTGTAGCACTGAATCATATTTCATTGTCTCAATGTACCACTGTTTATTAATCCATTTATCTACTGAAGGACATCTTGATGCTTCCATGTTTGGCAATTACAAATAAAGTTACTCTAAATATCCATATCCAGGTTTTTGTGTGAACATAAGATATCAACTCCTTTAGGTAATTAGTATGGGGTGCAATTGATGGATCATATAGTAAGAGTATGTTTTATTTTGTAAGAAACCACCAAACTATCTTCCAAAGTAGCTGCATCATTTTGCATTCCCACTAGCAATGTATGAGAGTTCCTTTTGCTCCATATCCTCACCAGCACTAGGTATCAGTGTTCTGGATATTGGCCATCCTACTGGTGTTAGTAGTATTTCATTATTTTAATTTGCATTTCCCCGATGACATATGATGTAGAGCATCTTTTCATATGCTTATTTGGCATCTGTATATCTTCTTTGGTGAGATCTGTGCATGTCTTTGGCCCAGTCTTCGAGATTTTTTTTTTTCTCACTGCTGAGTTTTTCAGAGTTCTTTGTATATTTTGGATAACAGTCTTTATCAGATGTGTCTTTCACAAACATTTTCTCCCAGTCTGCATCTTATCTTCTAATTTTCTTGAGCTAATAGATTCTTCATGTCAGAAATTAGGACAAGGCGGAGTAGGAATGGCTTGCCTGAGAAATCTTGCTTAGAGTCTTAGGTGGGAAGAATCAAAAGGCTGAAGGGTGCGGCAAATGGCTGGAAGCTGCAAAGCACTTCTTCACTCACATGACTGGCAGCTGGGCTAGGATAACTGGAGGGTTGAGCTCAGCTATGACTGTCAATCAGCGTACCTTCAAGCAGTGTCTCTAGGTCTTGGGCTTTTCACTGCATACCAGCCTCAAGTAGTCAGACCTCTTACATGGTGGCTGATAGTTCTAAAAGCAAGTATTCCAACAGACAAGGTGGAGTTGCAAGGCCTTTTATGACCTAGCCTCTGAAGTCACATATGGTGACTCTGATCACTTTCACTATATTCTATTGGTCAAATCAGTCACAAGCCCACAAACTTAAGAGGAGGGGACACAGTCTATCCTTTTATGGGAAAAGTATCGAAGAAGTTGCAACCATATTTTAAAACCACCATGGACATATTTATATAGAAAGATATGGAGATACATGCCAAAGGGTTAACAGTACCCACTTCCCAGGGGCCCTTAAGTGTATTTCATTAACCTATTATTTTAAAACAGACTAATCCAGACATACCCTCCATGGATGGCAAAATTTCATCTACCTACTTTCATGTGATACAGTAACAAATAAACAGAAATTTCATTTTATCTCTATATAAATTGCATCAAGAATGACTAACAGCTTGCTTTTGACCCTAGTATCTGCTAGTTACAACCACTTCTTATTTTCCAAACACCATCAAGCTCATATCCACCCTCAGGCTTAGGCTAAGTCATATCCAGAAAAAAACAGAGACCACCTATAACAAGTAAAGCAGGTAGATTAGGATCATGCTAGCAATATTGTTATGAATTCAATGGCTATTCCCTACTTCACTGATTACTGGACTTTAGGATTTCATAGATAAAGAAAAATTTCAGAAAAAAAAAACAAATAGAAACAAATAAAGTTACTCTTTATTCTCTAAACTAAGAACATATAGAAAACAGCTACTCTCTTTATCATCACATAAAAGAAATAGAATGGACAATTTCAAAATAAAATACAATTCCTTAAGAGTAAGTTTGACTAAATGGAAAACTCAATGTCTATATATTTTTCTCATTTCTCTAGTGATCTGCAGAAACTTCACCATAGATGAATCTCAGTTTACAAACTGGTATGGGAAACAACTTGTGCATCTGACATTCTGGTCTCTTGTTTCATTTTAATAGTTCTAGAACTTTAGCTTGCTCCTAGGAACTCAATCTAAAAAGACAGAAATAGCGAACGGTAACATCACACGTGCTATAGGATACATGGGGAAAATTCACGAATTAGGCTAAAAAAGATTTACCCCTGAAAAACAATATAGGTGGCAACGACTGTGGCAGAAAGTACAGTCGATGTATGCAGTATAGCCAAGCTATACTGTGTATTAAAAAAGTTGTGGTTATACTTGGTTTTGAGTGACGGTTACTTTTCTCTATTCTGATATTTTCTGAAATTTAACAATGAAGTATGCATAAATTTAATGATTAGGAAATTTTTAAAGAATAATTTCAATTTTGTAGGTTAGCTTAGGAAGAACAACAGGCCTATTTCCCTTTAACGAAGCAGTTTGTTTTAAAAGACTCCAGGTTATAAAACGGAGATTTTAAAGATTTGGAAGAAGGATGCAGAAATCAAGCTCCAGACTTCAGCTAGGACAAATGGCACTGGGGATGATAACATTCTCCCTCATTGCCTCTGTAAGACTCCCAGGCTGGATGGACTCAGTAGAGTAGGCTTTCTTGCCCGTAAGGTCATTAGCCAGAAATTCTCAGGTGGCAGGCGCTGTCTGATGGGGTCAAACGTTTTATCAACCGCCTTTTGCATCAGAGACCAAAGTTAGAATCCCAGCTCTATCACTAACTAGCTCAAAGAGCTCAGACGAATTAACACCTGAATCTGTTTTCTCATCTGTTAATATAGGAAAACTGCCTACCTTTCAGGATTTTTGTGCAAATTACTGATATAACGTAGGTAAAGAATTTAGTACAGTGCCTGCCTCTCAGAAAAATGACAATTACAGGAAACATTTGTATATCTAATATCTAAATATCTAAGTAGGTATTTGTTCGCACTGTTGGTCTAGAAAGGCTTTGAGAGCCCATCCACCATTTTCTTGCATTACAGGTTTAGCTAAAAGCATTAAGCACATAAAATTTCTGTCGGCCTTTTGAAACTTAAATGGGTGCGAGCTTTTAACCCAAGTTCCAAATGCGGAAAAGCTACTGTTTGCGGTTGCTTCTAAAATTAAGCTATCTTTAGAATGATCTTTTTGCGGGTTCCAGGAATAACTAAGCGGCGCAACCCCTATATTCTAACAAATGACACAAAACTAGGCGGACCGTTTCCCATTCTTCTGTTTTCTTATTGCAGCTGACTTCCCTATCTACTCCCAGAGACTCAGAGAGCATTTATGCAGAAAAAGGTTCAGCTCTAAGGTAACTGCCTCTTACCCAGGCTTTCTTAAAGCTGGAATATAGTCAGCAGAAGAATGTAGTACTTGTTCCTCAAGTGTCCTCAAAACAACTCTTAGAGCTTCCAGAATCATTCTCACGGGCCTTTGATTGGGCCAGCCAGCGACGATTCTAGCACGTTCCATCCACCTTTTCTTCCAACCTTCTAACCTGATACGCCTGCTTAAAGCCACGCCCTCCGGAAATGACCAATCAGAGAGTGTTAAGTGAGCCGGATGAGGCGGGCCCAGCTCTGCGCTGTTGACGAATCACCAACCCTAGACAGCAGGGGGGGCGGAAGCGGAAGCCCTGGTTTGGCCTTGGGTTCCGCGGTGGATGCAAGTGAGAAAACCTTGGGACCAAAGAGTTTTGAGTTCTCGCCTCTTATTTAGCAGCAGAATCGGGCGAAGAGACTCCTGCAAGCGGGGAAGGGAGGAAGCTCGACCGCCCGAGAAAAGAGCGAGCGGGCCGGCAGCTGCGAGACACAAACGAACTGTGTGCAGGATCCTTAGAGGCCGGTCCTGGTTAGTACCGTTCCTCCAGGCCATGGTGCGGGCGGAGTTCTGGGCGATCCCCAGGTGAGGGCAGCGGCTCCACCCGGGGTTTCTACCGCAGAAGAGCTGAGTAGATGCGGGGTGGGGAAGAAAGGATGCTGCCCGCACTGCTTCCCGGTAGCACCCTGAGCGGCCGCAATAGCCGCAGCAGCAGCAGCAGCAGCAGCAGCAGCGGAAAGCACAGCGCGGGCCGAGGTGGCGGCTCGAGCTCCTGGTAAAGACGCGCATTAGCTGTTTCTCCGTAGTATGCGAGTTGACAAAACAGCCAAAGAACAGGGCTCCCCATTACAATCTCCTTCGAGCTCTTTTTCCTTGCTACTCGGAACTGATTTATGTGGAAGCATGCCTTGCACTTGTACCTGGAGGAACTGGAGACAATGGATTCGACCTTTAGCGGTGGTCATCTACCTGGTGTCCATAGTGGTTGCGGTTCCCCTTTGCGTCTGGGAATTACAGAAACTGGAGGTAAGTGGGGCCTGCACCATTGGTTCTACCCTTTCTTCTACCTTCCTGCCCATCTTAGGTTGCCCATTTTTACCCTGGATGCCTCAGACTTGACATACTGAAAACGATATAATGTAAATGAGCCCAGTCATAGGACATAAACCTGTCTGGTTTTTTTGTTCACGGTTTTTCAAAGCATGCTACAGGTGGAGGTCGGACCAGGTCGAGAAAATAGTAACAATATATTAAGAAAGCGGCTTAGAAGAGCACTGTTTTGTTTTGCAAGTATTCATCAGTTCCTTAAAAGTAAGGTAATTTTATTCTTTAATCTGATCTGTTCAGATTTGGTCTTAACTGGATCAAGTAAACTACCTTGAAAACCATGTGTTGAATTTTATTAGCATTTAACTACCTTCCTTAATTAAAGGATTCTATGTGGTTTAACTTTGTTGTTTTTTTACTTCTGAAGATAACTCTTAACCAGCAAAGATTTTGCAAAAAGTCCCATGTATTTTTTTTTTGCTGTCATAATCTTATTATGACATCAGTAAAGTACTAAAAGCTGGAAGATCCCAAGGTAATACTTAACTAAGATAGGTACTTTATGAAAATTGTATAATGAACTTTAATTCAAAGTTAATAATAACTTTTACTTAGAAGCACCTCTTTTACAAGAGAAATCATAAGACCATGGCTATTTTTATTGTGGAAATGATTTTTACATAATTAAACGAAGTGTATTTAACATACATTTGTTTTCTGTGTGTTCACTAAATTATTTTTTGTTGCCTTTCTCATCCTGGAATAGTTCATATAGTTCGTTTTAAAGTTAATGTAATATTCAACTACATTGGATTTCCCATTTGTGAGATATTTAGATTATTTACATAATTTATCTACTAAAGACATTACTACAAATAAGGATTTCTTACTTTGAAATATTTCTTTGGAGTATGGTATAGGAAACACTTAAGGTTAATAACATGTATATTATCAACCTAGTTGAAGACTTTTCTTAGTTGGTTTTAACTGTAGTTTTTAAATGCCAGCTTTTAAGGGAAATTTTATTCTGCAATCTGCACTGTTAACACCCTGAGCCAAATTCTCATATCTTTACCGGACTGTTGTCAATCAATGCACCAGCAAAAGTATTGAATTAAAACATAAGTCACATTATACGTGTCCTCTCCTCAAAGTTTTCTGGTCACTCCTAGTCCCAGGTTAATTCCTGGTCCCAGATTAAAGGTCAATATTCTTAACTATGTATGGCCTTTAAGGCCCGACATAACTTGACACCAGCCCCACCCAATCCCCCTCTGACTTTTTCTCCTTAATTTCTGAGCTTCTACTACACTGACTCTGCTCAATCATGAGGTGATGCTCCCTCCTTTAAGGCCGTTGTACTAAATGTTTCCCATTGATGGCATGCCCTTGCCCCAGATGGTTTTCTCATTCCTTTATGTCTTCAGGTCTTGACTCAGATGTCACCCAGATACCCTGTTTAATATTGCAAGCTTCTTTTTCTCAACTCTTCATATCCTCTTTCCTGATTTATTTTTCTTCCCAGGATTCACCACCATTTAACATGATATACATATTTTACTTATTTTGTTTTCTTCTCCTTCTGCCCAAATGTCTGATAATTAATGATTATTTGAGTCCCAGTGATAAATCAGGCATGTGGCAAAAGACAGAAACATGACACCTACCATCATTAAATTTACTGGTGGAGACAAACAGAATCAATAAGAACAAATCAATAAAATAAAATCGTATAAAAATGCTATGAAGGAAACTAAAAAAGATTTAAAGAACAAACAGTCAGGGCCCACTTATTGCACATCTTCAAAAGGCTATGGAAAATTAGATGGAAGTGGAGGGAAGTTACAAAGTTCTTTATGATAGTTAAGAGGTAGTAGCTGCCTGGGCTGTGGTGACTTATGGCCCAAATCAGAATAGCAGAAATAGAGATAAAAAACTGAATTTTAAGTGACCTTGGAAGTGAAGAAACAAACTTAACAGTAGACTAGATTGGTAAGGGGAGGCAGTAAGAGAGAAGAAGAAATCAAGAACCACTCTGAGGTCTCTGTCTTGTACAAGAACAAGGTAAATGGTGATGCCAGTTACTGAGATGGAAATTTGACAGGAGCAGATTTGAGAGAAATTGAGTCAATTTCTCTGAATTTTAAGTGACCTTGGAAGTGAAGAAACAAACTTAACAGTAGACTAGATTGGTAAGGGGAGGCAGTAAGAGAGAAGAAGAAATCAAGAACCACTCTGAGGTCTCTGTCTTGTACAAGAACAAGGTAAATGGTGATGCCAGTTACTGAGATGGAAATTTGACAGGAGCAGATTTGAGAGAAATTGAGTCAATTGGACGTTAGTTCAAGATACGTGAGAGACATTCAGATGGGCATGTCAAATACGCAATTGGATATACAAGTCTAGAGCTCAGAAAGGTTTGAGCTGCGGATATATAGGAATTGTCAGAACAGAGCTGGTGTTTAAAGCCATAAGGATGAATGAGATTGTAAGGAGGAAGAAGAAAAGGCCAAGGACCTATCACCAAAAGTTAGAGGTCAAGTAGAGGAATAGGAAGTTACAAAAAAGCAGCAGCCAGTGGGGAAGTACAGTGCCAGAAGAGATGTCATGGACACTGTAACAGGAGAATGTTTCAAGGACAAAGTAGTGAACAATGAATGTCTGGTGCTGCTGAGACATCCATTTTGTTTTCACAAGATGGAAGTGTCATTGGTGATCCTAGTAATGGTTTCAGTGGAGTTGTATGGCTGAAACTAGAAGATATTGTTTGAAAAATGAATGTACTGGGGTAAAGAAGTGGAATCGGGATATGAAGATAAGTTTTTTGTTCATTTTTGGTTTTGTTCTGAGTATTTTGACTCCAAGTGGACCTGAGAAATGAATGGCACAGTAAATAGAAGTGTGGGATTAAGAAGGCAGTTTTTTTTTCTCTTATGTTTTATTTTTAAGGTTAGAGATACTAACTAGAGCATGTCCCCAAGATTTAGGTATATTTTGCTTTAATCTTCTTAAAAACCTTAAGAAGCATAGCAATTATCCTCATAGATCTGAAAAACCAAGAGAGAGAAGCGGCTAAAGTGACGTGCTAAAGTGCTTTATATACCACTATCTTTGTTATTATTCACTAAATGAGTTTGTGTATTTACAATGCTTAACACCTTGCCCAGCACATAGTATGTGCTCAGTAAGCCATAATTACCTCTGTTGTTTTTAAAATAGCGTCACTATTACTGCATTGGAGCAATAATTTATTTTCTTATGGGATAGCATCTTAGTTGGGATTGGGTTCTCAGTTGAACACCTAAAAGGCAGTTATATGCTTCTGCTTGAGCACTAGATAAAGTAGTTGACAGTTTTGTATGAAAAAATACATGTCTTTTAAACACTAGAATTGCAATGCTTGCACTGTGAGCAGTCAATGGAAACTGAGATTGTAGAAAACGGGTACATGTAGCCTGTCCATCCTCATCGTGAGGCATATACTCATTCTTTGGAATGACAAGATAACCATCGGTACTATTTAAACTATTTCACTCCCTTATTTGGCTGAATATGTAAAATTGAAGTCAAGTAAGTTAAATGCACACCTGATGTCACCCTGCTCTGCAGTCATTTTACCCTGCCCAACTCGTCTTTATATCCTTATGCCCCAAGTAGCTACTCTATGTGAGCGCATCGCTCTACCCCTCAGGATTGGGCCCAAAAGTACTCTCCTGTGCCTCTCTTCTCTCTGCTTTGAAAGCATTTGGCTGAGGGACAGTTAACTCTTGGATGCCCATCTTTAACGGTTTTTTCTTTTCTCTCTCTTCAAATTACCTTACGAAAAAAAATCTACACTCCTTATCTCTTATTTTGTAAGCCAAAAAAAAAAATAATAATCCTACACAGGGCAATAAGTTTAATAATATTAATGGTGTCCTTATATCAAAGTGTCTCAAGTGTGGAATAGCTTAGAGATAAATGTAAATTAAATGTAATAATTAATCATTTCTACAGATATCTAGAGTTGTTATTATAATGTTACTTAAATGTGTACATGAATACAGTAGGTTAAACGTCTTGTAGATTTTCGTGTAGCTCAAAAATCAAAACAACTTAAACCAGTCATTCGGATTAATGGCATTATTGTGGACAGATGATGTTTTTCTGAAACTACCATTTGCAGTGCAAAAATTGTACTAAGTCTATGATGAAAGATTGTTTTAACTTGGCATCATTATAGTGAAATGACTCAACTCTCCAGTCACTTGCTTTATGATCACTTGAAAAAGAACTTTTTTCCTTATAGCACCCTGAGGTCGTTTGGCCTTTATTAGTCACAAGCACATCATTTTTCTTTTAAGTCTCCCCCACCAAGTTCTGTTTTTTTTGCACTAAGGCAATCATAAAGACAAATGTGGGCATTAAAATTACTTGGCAATACTGTTCTTAATGATCACCTTATACTAGAGAAGATCTAGAATATGCTTTTATTTTTGTTTTTATTATTTTAGGCCATCATTAAAATGAATATTCGATTTTAAATGAAATTGAGTGAAGCAAAACTCCCTGGAAAACAATTGCTAAGGCATTCCTTTTAGAATCTTCATCCTCCACATATTTGCTTACTGCTTTGTTTAATCTCCAGCATTCAGCAAGACTTTTGTATTTGCTTTTCAAGTTTTCCATACAGTTTAATGTAGGAATTTATTGTTGTAAAAATACATTTATTCTCTATACTTTTATTTTCTACTTAATCTTTGGCCCTCTGATGAAAAAAGAAATCTTGTTCAAAACAATAAAACTAGAAGTTGTGGACTTCAGTTCTATTTTAATTAACTGCTAAAACCCCTTGAGTGTCAAAAATGCCTACTTTTTTTCCTTCAACGAGGTAGCATTTAATATTTTTTTGCAATTAAAAGGACTCTCTAAGGCAAGAGTCCAAGTTAGTATATAATTCATTCCCTAGGGCCCCTCAGAACAGTTTCAGATAGATTTATTTTTACCAAGAAGTGAGTAGATTACTTCAACTCTACCAAGGATGAGGTAGTTCAAAGTATATTTTTAGAAATTAAGCTTTTACAGGATAAAATATTGATCAGATATTGACCTAAAAAAGAAATTAGAGCTTTTTAAAACGTAATATGCTGAATTGATGTTGTATATAAGAGGAGTAGCATATATTACACAGTTTGCTCAGATAGTAGTTGTGGCAGTACAGAATTAAAAGACTTGCATGTAAAGAACTTAGCAAAAAATGTATCAGTCATATAGTCAGCATTCAATAAGTGTTCTAATATTTAACAATAAAATTTGCAGAAAATGTAGATAAATAAAACTTTCTAGACCTAAAAACAAAGGAATAAACCATATAAAGATTTTTAGATTTGAGTAGCAGAAAAATTTTAAATTTCTGTATTTTCCAAACAATAATCAAATATAAAGGGCAAATAACAATTTGGGGTAATGACATGATGCTAATAGTCTTATGTGTACAGCACTATTACATAAGTCCCCATAAGGAAAAATGCTCAATCCCATATGGAAAATTATGCCCCCTCTCTCTACAAAAGTAAAAATAGGCTGTTTGTTAAAGAACAAGTAAAAATAGCCGCTAGACATTTGGAAAATATTGGGGCTTATTAATAAATAAATGAAAATTTAAGAAATAGAAATGTTCTATTCAGCTGTTTTAATATCAGAGAATTTATACCAGCATGTTCTTCTGCTTCTTAAGGTTGGAATACACACCAAGGCTTGGTTTATTGCTGGAATCTTTTTGCTATTAACTATACCTATATCACTATGGGTGATACTGCAACATTTAGTGCATTATACACAACCCGAACTACAGAAACCAATAATAAGGTAAACCTTAACATATTTTGATTATTTTAGTGTTGTGTTGGTTTATTTCATAAATATAATGTAAAACATTTTTAATTTATGTTTTACTTTCCAAATAGGATTCTTTGGATGGTACCCATATACAGTTTAGATAGTGTAAGTATGTTTCATATTATCTCATTAAGAACTTTTTTGGTGATACTAACTATACTAACAAAATATTTGAAATAATGCAAGTGTTTTTATTTGGCAATAGAAGACAGATTAATAAGAAAAGTAAAAGGGTCCACTTGTTTTTAATGTTGATAAGATAAAGTTATGACAATAGTATAGGCAAATGTTTAAAATTCTTAAAAATTCGTAGCCATTTTCTTTGCTTAAACTTTTAAAATTTCAGATTAGTAGCTCTTAATCCTTAAAAGAATGCGATGTTTAAATTTACATTATCATCCTTTTTATTTATTAAATCTTTTATTTTTACAAAAAAGCCCTTTTTCCATTGGATTCTAACACGTATTAGAGATGACTACTTTAATTTGATTAAATATAAAGGAAATGTCTTTAACAGCATTTTCTGTGATCATGCCAAGAAAATTTGAGATTATATGTAAAAACTCAAGTGTATGTAATTTAGCTCTTTCTTCAAATTTATTATTTACCCCAAACACAGATGTTTTCATTTACCAATATCCAAGATGTTTATTGCTTTTAAAATTTCATTTCACAGATGGTCTGGTATTCTTTATAATAATAAACTTTAGACAGTTTGATGTAAATATGTGGCAAGTTTAAAAATTAGCTATTGCGAATACCATGAATTGGAGTAGTAATTCATTTTATCTTAGATGCAACTATTTTTAACATCTCTGCTTTTTCATAGTGGATAGCTTTGAAATATCCCAGCATTGCAATATATGTGGATACCTGCAGAGAATGTTATGAAGCTTATGTCATTTACAACTTTATGGGATTCCTTACCAATTACCTAACTAACCGGTATCCAAATCTGGTATTAATCCTTGAAGCCAAAGATCAGCAGAAACATTTCCCTCCTTTATGTTGCTGTCCACCATGGACTATGGGAGAGTAAGTATGTTCGATTTTACTTATTTTATGTTTTGGTTTTACTTAAGTGGTCAATTCTCTGCAAAGCAGTGCGTTAAGTACTATGAGCAGGACAGTAGGTATAAGACAGGTCCCTACCATCATGTAAGTTCATAGTCAAGTTTGAAGACTAACAAAACACATTTTGATAATCCATGCATAAGTCTGTCTCTTTTACATTATTCATCCTAAATAGAAAACAAAATATTGTAGGGGGGAAACTTTAGAAATCATTTAATCAACATCCTTTTGCAATTACGATCTTAGAGCTAGTTAATGGCAAAATCAGGTCTAAGAGTCAGGGAGAAGATAATCTAGGTGAGGAAATAGTATATGATATGAAATAGCAGCAGCAAATAGCAGTGTTATGTTAGTAATAAATAATAAGTTAGTTGGCCTTACTATACATCCATGTAGTACAGTAAAGGAAAGTAACATCTGAAAAGTTAAGTTGAAGCTAAGATTGCATTTATTATATGAATGAGTAATTGGATATTTTTTGGCAAAGAAACTTGAAGATGGTGTTTTAGAAAGATTATTTTTGCAATACTGTGCAGTAGCAATCCCCAGCCATTTTGGCACCAGGGACTGGTGCTCCTATGAGAATCTGATGCCTGATGATCTGAAGTGGAGCTGAAGGGGTTGATGCTAGCGCTAGGGAGTGGCTGCAAATACAGATGAAGCTTTGCTTGCTCACCTGCCATGCAGCCTGGTTCCTAACAGGCCACAGACCAGTACCAGTCCACAGCCTGGTGGTTGGGGACCCTTGCTATATAGTATACATTAGAGTGAGGAAGATTCCAGAGCTGGGGGAATAAATTAGGTTCTTATAATAGTCCATTTGTAATATAAGCTTAAAAAGGAGGGATGGAATTGGAATGGAAAGGAAAGACAATAAGAATGCAACTGAAGAATCAGTAGGATTTGATCACTGATAGAGGGAGATTAAGGTCAAAGTTGTAGGCCAAGGTAACAGGACTGATTTGGAGGTAATCAGTGCAGATAAACTTTAGAGATAGCTTCCTTGCAATATAGAACCATTCATACATCGGGGCTAAATGTAAGCACCTCTACTAACATTCTTTGAATGACAGGGAGCTACCTGTCTGTTTTAAATAATAAGCTCCTAATATGTTCATTTGACAAAAATGTATTAAATACCTGGTACATGCCAATATATAGATGCATCCTAGTGTATATAACAGACATAGAACTTATGGAATTTAATATTTTGGTTAGGAAAGTTTGGAATTAAATGAAGACACGAATATATAGTTCTTTAATTCAGGAAATGCTATGAAGGAAAAGAATAGAAGACTATTAAAGGATAATAAAAAATTAATGCACATTGAGGGTGGGAGGAGAAATATTGTGCTCAACTCTGAATACAATAAGAACAAATAGAGATTAATAGCGAACAAGCAGATTGAGGTGGTCACTGGATGGAAAATTAATAACAGGAGACATCAAGGGCAGGGTAATTCTCTCTAAATTGGCCTAACAGGATTCTTACTAAAGGCAGGCCAAGAATTTAACATGTTAGAGTTTTAGCTCATTAATTTACAGACTTTTTTCTTTTTTTATAATACTGCATTTAAAACTATACATTTCACACCAAATTCTACATTCGCTAAATCTGTTTTTGTTTTTAATTGAGCCATAATTGACATACAATATTATTAGTTTCAGGCATACAATGTAATTATTCAATATTTGTATATACTATGAAGTGATCACCTCAGGAAGTCTAACATCCATCACTGCATAAATCCCAGTTTAGAATTTAATATTGTCATTGTCATCCAGATAAAGGTTTTTGAATTCCTGTTGGGATTTCTTCTTTACCTAAGTTGTTTTGGAGTATTTTAAAGTTTAGTGTTTTTTAAATCTAATCTGACAGTCCATCACTTAAATCAGTTAGGCCATTTATGCTTTTGTGATTATTGGTATATTCACTTATAATCTCACCATCTTTTTGTCTTCAGTTTGTCTCACTTTTTACTTTTTCCCTTTTTCACTAATCACATTCTTTCTAAAAATAAACTTATTTTGGAATAATTTTAAAATTATAGAAAAGTTACAAAGATAAGACATGTCCTATATACCCTTAATCTAATGTTAACTAACATCTTGTGTAATCATGGTACATTTGTTAAAACTAAGAAATAACATTAGTACAATACTATTAACTGCAGACTATTCAGATTGCCCAGTTTTTTCCACTAATGTCCCATTTCTATTCTAGCATTCAGTCTAGGAATCCACATTGCATTTAGTCTCTTTTTAAAAATGTACATTTTCATTATTATTTTGAGAAGGTATAAGAAGTTTGGGAAGTCCTCATTATTTGCTACAAATTTTAATAAATAATTTTAAAGTTATTTAAACATTTGAGGAATATGAACATATGTAATAGGAAAATCTGTTTTATACCACTCACATATAGCAAATGTTAATATAGGTTTGTAATACCTTATTTGCCATTGTATAAATAGTAAATTTAAAAAAAAACAACATGAAAACCAAGCTTTTTTATAGCTTATTTAGTGTCAAACTCTATTTATAATCTTCGACTCTTTATAATTTTAATGGGATTATTTTACCTATTAGGAAATAACATATGTTTCACTGCAGCTATATCAGTGTGTTTGATTATAGGTGCTACTCCACATCATGCTTGTAGTTGATTACATTCTTTTATTGTTGTTTTCTTATTCCATTTTTTTTCTCACTACTGGTTTATAAGTTATAGTTTCTATTTGTAGAAACTCATGACTACCTAGAGTCTGAATTTTACCATGACTACTTAAAATGTAATTTTAATCTGAATAATTAGACATACTTTTTTGGATAGTTTTTTTTTTTTTTTAGTCTTTTGTAGTGTTCACTACAAGTAGTAACAATTTACTTGCTCCTCCTTTTTGCATGTCAGTTCTATTTGAGATCATTTCCTTCTTTCTAATGTCTGGCCCTCGGAAGTTCCTTTATTGTCAGTGTTTCAGTGGCAAATTTTCTCAGATATACTTATCCAAAAGTTTCTTTATTTTGTCCTCATTCTTGAAAGATAGTTTTGCTGGATATAATTCTTCGTTGACTGGAATTTTCTCCAAGCATTCTGAAGATTATATTCCACTCAATTTTGGCTTCAGTTGTTGCTACTAACCCTCTACTGTGAATCTAATTGTCCTTCCATAATAGGTGACCTGTCTCCAACTGCATTTAAGACCCTCTCTGATACTTTGCAGTTTCATTGTGAAATATCTAGGTTGTTTTGTTTTCAGGTATGCTTAATTTAAAGTTTATCTCAAACTGTAGATTCATGTCTTTCAACGGTTCTGAAAAGTCCTCAGCCATAATCTCTTCTGATTCTGCGTTTACTCTCTCTTCTGTAACTCTGAATATGTTAGACCTGATTCTGTAGTGTTCTTTGTAACTCTTTCACATTTGTCTCTTTGTCGTGGCCTTCGGTACATTCTGGGCAATTTTTTCAGATACGTCTTCCAATTCATTAATTCTCCACAGCTTTCAAAGTTATCCAGTTGGCTATTTACTCCACCTGTGTAGTCACCATTAGTGGTCTCAGGTTTGGATTGACAATCAACTCATAGAATACTATAGGTTTAACCTACCTCCAACTTAATTTAACTTTGTAGAGTACAGGATAGGAAGCACAGCATGTATGGCCAACGCATTCTCATCAGGAGGTCTTGCAACAAATCCAAGTGCAATTCCTAGGCCCACCACCACAGGGAGCACACTTCGTTGGAAATGGGAGTGAACCACCTCAGCACAGAGAATTCTGTCAGCGCTTAGTACCCCAGTAGTTATTCAGTCTTAGTAACACAGCACTTCAAGGTCTGTGTGCCAGACTCAAAATCTTCTCAGTCTGAATGTAATTCTTAAATTAGGGGATTTATAATGCCTTGCCACGACCTGCAGCTAGAGGGTTAATATACCTCAGGGGGTGATGGAAGGAGGGAGAAAAACAAGAGACAGTATATACAAAATCTGGGGCCAGGTGGGACACTGCACTTCGCTCAGATACAGTGACCCAGAGGCAAGCTCAGCACTTTATATTATACTTTTGAAGGTCAAGGAGGGGTGGGAGTCTTTCTCAGGACTTGAAACTTGCTGGCTGCAACAATTTCCCAAGGCCTGTCTGTACCTGGTTATCTATGCTAAACTAACAAGCAGCTGTCTTGTCTGTTCACTATTTTGCTTCTCTGCCCTTGGCAGATTATAACACAGTCAAGCATGGCTTTGCCAATGTCCGGCTCAGATCCAGCTCTCTGCAGTGCCTAACATTGATAAGGAGTTCTACTGATAGAAGTGCTAAATAAGCATTTGCCCTCAGAGCAGCTTGGTCTTTTAAGAAGACCATACAAGGCTCTCAAGGAGAGAGCCTTTTTTTGGTAGTTTTGTTTTGGGACTTTCGTGGTTTTGTTTTTGTTACCCCTTGTGAATTTCCCCTATATTGAGTGAGCCCAGACATAGAATAAAAACTGTTTAATACAGGATCTTTGTTTTGTACTTTCAGAGTATCTAGTCAATAATAGTCTCTGAAATGATATTTAAATATAAAACTTGGAAGGAAACTGAATCTTAAATGTAAATAATACTTTCTGAATACACTTTGACATGTATATGCACACATGTAATTGATTTATTACTCAATTTTTCTTCCAGAAACACAAAGGGGCCCACTTTTGTTCCTTTCATTCTGTGCTGCGCTATTCAGAAATTTGAGACTGTACACAAAGAGAGATCTTTCAGAAGATGCAGTTGTCTAATAATTTTAAAAATAGTATTTAAATTGTTTGCTACCATCCACATTCTTCCCCATTTGCTATTTAGAATGACTAAATTAAAAGAATTACATATAAATATGGCATCATTTGTCAAAGTGATTTTAATTTGGGGGCTTTGAAGAAAATCTGATACTATTTAAATGAATAGTTGAAATGCTAAGTTCTTTTTCTTTGGCAGAGTATTGCTGTTTAGGTGCAAACTGGGTGTATTGCAGTATACAGTTGTCAGACCATTCACCACCATTGTTGCTTTGTAAGTACATAAAACTTATTTTTTAAATATTTTTATGCTCTTAAGTGGGAACAAATGAGTAAAGATATAAAGAGCATTAATTTACTGGTTTATAATACAAGTCTAGTCTGTTATTAAAAAAAAGAGTATATTGAAACCCTTCTATATTAAATAAGGTGACCATTTATAGAAAAGAATTCTTCTAAATAACATTCTCCAGAGCTTTCTGGAAAGCATTTAAAAAATACTTTGTTTTGTGCATATTAATATTCACACAGCTTTACAGAAACATCTGCTACATGAAGTTAAAATTAAGTTTCATTACATGGTTTTATTTCCTACATAGTTAGAATATGAGTCCTATATTCCAAGGAAATCGTATTTTTCTTAAATAATTCTGTCAAGGCTTATCCACATTCTTGGAAGTAAAATAGGTTATCATTAAGCTACCTGGTAAAACTCTTAAAAATTTAAGAATGTCAAATAATTTAAAGCAGGTAGGTTGTATGTTTTATCTGCTAGTCAACATTCTGCATGTTCACAGGGGACGAGTGGGAAGGAACGTGAAAGAAGCATTCAATTCTTTATTCTCTCTTTGAGCTAGTAATATTTACCTTAGAATTAAGACTAATTCACTTATTTTTGAAGGCATGCCTTATTTTCTGCAGTTTAGAAATTGGGTAATCATATACTTAGATTTGAGTCTTCATGAAATTTACCTCCAAGACAATTTGGGGGAAAAAGTATACTTGTAGTTACTAACCTGCATTATGTGTTTATAACAATCAAGCTTTTGAAAATTAGGCAGCATAATTTTTTTGAATATATAATTACCTTTTCTAGTTCAAGGTATGTGTCTTATTTTGGATTTCAAGTTGTAGGTACACTTATAAGGTGACATTCTAGAAAAATGTTTTGCTTTTAAATATTTAAACACCTCTGTGACCAAAATCAAGTGATTATGTACAGGATCTTTTAAATATGTGACTTCTGAATTTAAGTATTGCTGTCAATGCTGTATTTTAAAATATATTTTTATTTAATTAATCATAAAGTTGTCTCATACCATTTTTTAGAGTCTGTGAGCTGCTTGGTATATATGATGAAGGGAACTTTAGCTTTTCAAATGCTTGGACTTACTTGGTTATAATAAACAATATGTCACAATTGGTAAGTAAATATTCATCTGTACTAAATATTCATCTGTACTAACTGTACTAAATTATCATCTATAACTCTAAATTTTCTTAGGGAAAGTTTCTTTGGGAATAAAGCTTAATTGTTACTTTTTAATCTTGAAATTTGATTTATAGGAAGCACTTGAAGAAACTTTAACATATATCTTTATACACATAAAAATATAATATCTTTGTTAATTATTTGGTGACTTATACCATGACCTGTTGACCATGTTTGTTCATTTGGTTCTGGGTGCTCATTGCATATTTCTGTGAATATGTCATAAATAAAAGCACAATGTCCCTCCTTAAAAAAAAAAAAATCCCACATATCCTAGGCATATTCATAAAAGAAAATGTCTAATTGACATATGACAGTACAGGGTTAAATTAAAAATGGGAGAATAAAATTCACTCATATATTTGGAATTAAAGGAAAATTGAGAATGCCAAATTGAAAAAAATATATGTTCTAGAAACTGAAATGCTCTAAATATATAACTATCTGATATTTTCAACTTAATGTACATTTTATTTAAAATATTTAGTTAATGCTTTCAGCAAAATAGTAATTTAGATGCAGTGGCATGCATATGGTATTAGAATAAAAATCAAATGCTTTAGATTCAAAGCTTTCCCACATATTGATGTTCTTTGGAATCAGTAATTCTATTTCTGGGAATGCACCCTCAAGAAATGGTCATAAGTACTTTTGCTTTGAATATTTTTGCATATAAAGCCTATTTGTAATAGCAAAAGGCTGGAAACAATCCATAGCCCAGTAATAGGAAAAAAATAGACAACAAAATTTTATATTTAGTTTATGGTACTTTTTAAAAACTACCTTATGTGTAGAAAGGAATCGTTGCATAATGGGACTGTGAACATTATACTTTACTGCTTTCGTGTTCTAAAATATTTTAAATGAAGATTATATATTATTTTAATGGGAAAAGGTAAACTTTTAGGAAAATGTATATTGACATGCAACACTAGATAATTACAACTGATTTCTAAAAATAATGTCTTGAGCATTTATTTTATGAAAGTAAATTCAGCTGGATTAACATATTGCCCTCAAAAATCATTTCCCTGATTCCTTACTTTTATGTCATAGTCACAATTTTATTGAAATTATACTGTTTTAATGTGTTGTCTTATAAATAATAGCTCAACTCTTATAACATTATGGTAATTTGTATCTAAAAGTCATTACTAAGCAGATAGTTGTTTTTATTTTGGCCGAATGAGAGCCTTTTCTTGTATCAAAGCAGTCATTTGTTCATTGTTCATGGGTACCAGTAAGTGAACACTTAAAACCATTTTCAGGGAAGATGTCATACATCTCTCCTCAGAAATTTCATATCATATGTATTCATCCACAGTAAACTACAAACACTTGTTTTTAATCTAAAAATAGTATAATGTGCCTAGAAAAATGTGCCTGAAACATTACTCTGTACCAGGGCTCTCTGGTTTATAACATATTTCTACTACTATAATTAGTTATCTTATTGAAGAAGTTTAATTGTTAATCTTGTTTCTAGTTTGCCATGTATTGTCTCCTGCTGTTTTATAAAGTACTGAAGGAAGAATTGAGTCCAATCCAACCTGTTGGCAAATTTCTTTGTGTAAAGCTGGTGGTTTTTGTTTCTTTTTGGTAAGTGTTGCTTTCTCTTAAATGTTCTCATTTTCTAAAGGGCAATGAAACTGTTGACTAGGGAGGATTTTTAAAATAGTACAGAAGATGAATTAAATCGTCTCTACTTAACCTTTTAAAAAATTCACCTTTTTCATCCTCTTGGTTTTTCGTAAAGAAATAATCAGGTGGCCATTGTAACATTTATAAGAAAATAATTTTGAGACAACATAAATATCTCAACACTAGAGGAATCACTAAAATAAATCACGGTGCTTTCGTGTAATTGAGTACTCTTCCATTTGGAAGATAAACAATATAGAATATGTAATGCGATGAAATGTTCATTAGTAAAAAACATTTTTTAAAACAAAAGATAGAATTATACATGGTCCCAGATTAGTATAGGGGTAGGTGATGGGGGCCTGGAAACAAATGCACCAAATTTAACAATATACAAATATAAAAAGGGTAAAAAGAAAAAAAATCTTTGAAATCTCATTACCCAGAAAGAATGATTAACATTGTGGTACACGTTGTCATATATAAAACTCCACAAAAATAGTTTGATACTATAAAAACTTATAGAACTTAATGATATGTCCAGTATAGTGTGGAAAAAGTTCTTTGTCAGTAAAGTGAGGGTGTAATTTTGTTTTGTTTTTTTGTTGTTGTTTTGCTTAGTATTCTGTGGTGTCGATGTATTTTTTTAACCAATCTTCTATTGACATTTAGATTGTTTCTAATTTTTTCACAAGCAATACTGAAGTGAATGTTTTTATCTATAGAACTATGAAAACTTGTCTAACTAAATTTAACCAAGGGTTGTATCCTTAGATTTGCTTGAAATGCTCAGTGTGACTCCCTGTCTTGGAGTCAGAGACCCCTTCTGAATTTATCGTTAGTTCCAGTATTTCAAATAAGCCTGGATTCAAAATGTTTAAAATAATCTGAATAATCAATTAATACATGTATAAATAACATTTAAGTATCTGCCCTGTATTTCATTGTTAAGTACCTAATGTGCAAGGTGTTAGGCATTGTCTATATATAGGAAAAACTTTACTTACTTGTAAAGACATATGAACCAAGTTCTGAAGTTCCAAGAATACAGTCAAAATTCATGTGACAAAACTGTACTAGAAAATGTATAAAGCAAATAAATATATTTAATACAGATACACAGTGTCTTTAGGAATATGCTATGAAGGCAGGGGGTGGTGGGGTGATGGTCCACAGGTTGTGCTGGGGTGTAACTATTTTAAATGGCATATTTTTAAAACAACTGCTCATTTTATGCTTGATATAGATTTGGCGTTTACCTTTTCCTAACATATAGGCAAGCAGTAGTTATTGCTTTATTGGTAAAAGTTGGCGTTATTTCTGAAAAGCACACATGGGAATGGCAAACTGTAGAAGCTGTGGCTACAGGACTCCAGGTAAGCAGTGCTGTCTCTGAATTCAGTACAACTTTAATTTGTTAAGCATTTTTTATATATTATCTCCCAAACCTGACAATGTGAAGGCTGTGGGGTTACTATTATCTTCACTTTACAGGTAAGATGGGGGAACCCTAGAGAAATTGGCCATAATTACTAATTTGTAGTAGGGCCAGGAATACAACCTAGCTTTTGTTATTCCTAGTCAATTTCTCTCTGCATTTCTCTTCCTAGTCTTTGAGCCATGGATTGAGAATACAGTTTACTTTGCTAAAAAATACTTGTAGTGCAAAATAAAAATTGTCATTTTATCTTTTTGAAGAGGTCAAAAACAATTATTTTGGAAAATGGAAAAATGAATATAATTTTATGAAAAAAAAAAGCTATTTATACTTAAGTATTTTTGAGAAGATAGTGCTTTTTCCTTTACCTAACTAGATTTAAGCATAAAGACAGCTGATATTTTTGTTGTCGTTGTAGGACTTTATTATCTGCATTGAGATGTTCCTTGCTGCTATTGCTCATCACTACACTTTCTCATATAAACCATATGTCCAAGAAGCAGAAGAGGGCTCATGTTTTGATTCCTTTCTTGCTATGTGGGATGTTTCAGACATTAGAGATGATATTTCTGAACAAGTAAGGCATGTTGGTAAGTACCAGTCATTTAATGCATCCAAATAGGTTACTGTAGTTTTAATAGGACAATTTAGTAGCTATTCAAGACATGAAAAGACTTTTTTAAAAGCAGTGGCACAGTAAAGCTCTTCAAATTGGGAGAGGGAGGGTGAGTTTATTTTTAGCATGGTAAGTTTATAGTGTTAAAATAACTTACTGGCTGACTTGGAAACCTTTATGTTGCTTTAAAGGAAGGACAGTCATGGGACATCCTAGGAAAAAATTTTTTTGTGAGGATCAAGATCAGAATGAACATACAAGCTTGTTATCATCCTCATCACAAGATGCAATTTCTGTTGCCTCTTCTGTGCCACCTTCACCCGCGGGTCACTACCAAGGCTTTGGACATACTGTGACTCCGCAGACTACACCTACGACAGCTGATATATCTGATGAACTATACTGTATTACAGAAGAGAAAAAACCTTCAGATAAATCTGTGGCCTCCTGAACAGTGTATGAAAGCAAACTGCTACTACCATGTTATTTCATTATTTGGTATCCCACTGCTCAAGATTTTGTGCTTGGGACAAGCCATAAATGATGGAAAACTTCAACACAAAGATAGGTGGAAGCCAGGTACTACTGGATTTATATAACTAAATTTTGTATATCACAGATAATGAGTGGGTCTAAATATCTTAGACTTAGATTTGATTTCTTAACAGTAGAGTATCACATACTCAAAATGGTAGAAAATGACTGTACTAAATGTTTTTGATGTGACATTGCTTTATCAAGAGGATGGGCATAAAAAAAAAAAAAAAATCAATGCTTCCTACCACTGCTGCATGAATACAATGCTCCGGAATTAGCAGAAAGTATAATTCAGAAATATGAATTAGTGGAACTTAATCATGTGCCATATATGCTTACCTAACAATATTTCTCTATTTCTCAACTGGATGTCTTTCAATAAATAAGAATTTATCATTTATTTTCTGTAACTTTAAATGTCTCTCTTTCCTTAAACATAAACCATTAATGTTTTAACAAAAAATTCTTGAGGACTTAATTCCTTTATGCTGTCCCTCTCCAATCAAGTCTAAGTCCAAAAATTAAGGGTTAAAAACTGTATACCTATGATGGGAAGAAACCTGCCTTATATTCCTATTAGGATGACTAGGACCTAATCTAATTAATCTTAAATCTAAAAATACTTGCAACACTGCTAATATGATAGGTTATTCCTGACTGAGATGAATAAACTGGATAGAGACTAGATCAAATTAGAAACTTGTGATAGGAAGGCCATGTAGGTGCTATTTGGGAGAAATTACTTAGAATGGAATTTCTCTAATTGCTAATCGCAATCCACTGGATCATGTTTAATATTTAATACTGAAAATAAAATACAGAAAATGCTAGAGTGGTATGCTGCAAATAGCAAGGATAAGTATAATTTCTCAAAACTTTTGCTTTATGTATTTATATACACTTCCATTCACATATATGGGCTGGTTGACAGTAATTAGGTACAAAGTCTTTGTTCTGTCCACTATTATAATCTAAACATTTCTACTGAAAGTAAAGCTAGGTAGTATAATAGCAGAGGTAATGAGAACAGGCAATGTGGAAAAAAAGTACATCTTAATTTCTTTATGGCTTAACTTAACAAAAAGCACATAGCACGTACAAGGCATGATAATCTTATTAATCTATTTCAAGTCTTTAAAAATTGGATCAATTCAAATCAGAACTTTGAAAATACTGGTTTAAGTTGAACAACTCCTTGAATTTATCAGCTTTTTCATTTTTCTTTGCCAAAGTAGACGAGGAAAAATGCTGCCTCCTTAAATTAAGATTTTATATTTTTCCTATCTCTTCTCCTCTTAGTTTATAGCTTAAATTCTTAATGCAGGTTTGTATTCCCAAAACAACCTGAGAAGGTATTTCAGAAGTATATCTAGTATTTAAAAGAAGCAAGCTTAGAATTTAAGGGTAACCACAACCCTCAGTTTTCAGTGGAAGCCAATTTTTTGATGTTTACCAATTATAAGTTTGGATTTAAGAATAAAAAGTCAAGATACCTTAAAAACTTAAATTTTTTGCTTAACACATGGCAATGAAGATGACTCAAAATCCCTTATCTCTACTGTTTTAGTATACTGACAAAACTGTTGAGCAAAATTTAATACACAGAAAGTAAAACCAAGCAATAAAGTTTCCTAATTTGAAAAAAACAGCCTTTTTTCAGAAAGGAAGTCCACAGCAAATATTTTTGTAGTAATGCAACTATAATTTACATTTTAAATACTTTATTAATATCAATTTTAAAAAAATATTTGTTACAAGGAATTATATCTTTACATCCCCAGTTTATGATTACAGTCTCACTATTCAGACCAGAAAAATTGTGTACGTGCTCTACTTAACCAGTTTTTCATCAAAACTGCTCATCGCTTTACTGTGATGCTGACATTGCTTTTGTGGTGCTGGACGTTGAGCACAAGTACCTCGCCCACTTCCACCTGGACGGGAGTATCTAAAACAACTGCAGCTTGTTTCCAGTGGGAGACTTCACTGGACGTATCCAACCTAATCTCATCATCAAGGTACATATGGTACCAAAATGGAATAGCAGTCACTTGTCCAGATTTACAAATGTGTACCTAGGAAAATTAAGAAGTCATGAAAATTTCATCAGCATTAAATAAGTCAGTCCTTGTCTCTTTAGATCTTTACTTCATAAATATATTTACCCAATTCAAATTAATATTCAGTAATATTAAGCCACATCCATTTCTGGATATTGTTCAGAAAAACATTTAAGTCTTTAAAGAAAGTGGTTAAAACAATTCTATTTACATAAAGTATTACCTAGTGTAATTATTCCAGATACATGATAAGAGAAATTATTTTGCATCACCTTTACTTCACTGTTAGAGGTGTTCAAATACGGAGTCATTAGATCTAGTCGTAGGAGTTCCACCGGCTCGCTTAAAGGGGTGCAGGGCAGCGAAGGGAGGTCCAAAAACACACGTATCGGTACCTAAAGAAAGCATGAAACTTTCAAATTTTTTTTTTTTTTTTTTTTGTGGCCAAGGCTCATCAATTGCTTTATAGTTGGCTCAGTATGATAGAATGCCTTTTACATCTATTACCTCATTTAACTTAATTCCCACATTTAACCTAAAGGCATAAGGACTTTCATGATTCCAGTTTTACAGGAAGAATGAATAAAGGTTTAGGGAGGTTAAATCATTTGCTTAAATCATGGTTTCAATTACCTATAAATTCTCTGCTTCAATGAAAGTCAAACTGCTCCAAAGTGTTTAAACCAAGGATGTGCTTATGTGTAAAAGATGAACTAATAAGCAAATAGTGTAACTATTGAACTGTTTGAGAAAATATGCCAAATTCAATATATATTGAATACATATGTATAATATGGATTTCATTTGAAAAATTCAGTTTATTTCCATAAGGCAGTGATTCTCAACTTTGGCTGCAAATTAAAATCATCAAAGGAGCTTTTAAAAAGTCCCCAACTGCTCAGGCCATACCTCAGGTCGATTTGGAGTTGGGATCCTGTTAGTAGTTCTGCAAGTGATTCATGTGATGCTTAGCCAGGGGATTATGTTCTGAGAAATGTGTCATTAGGTGATTTTGTTGAGAACATCACAGCGTACTTACACAAACCTAAATGGTATAGCCCACCACTGTAATTGTATATGCTGTACTTTTATATGACTGGCAGCACAAAAAGTGTGTTTACATCACAAACACATGAGTAAATGCACTGCTGACATTATCATGGCTACGATATCACTAGGTGATAGGAACTTTTCAGCTCCATGACCATCTTATGGACCACCATTGGATATACAGTCCTTTGTTGACTGAAACATCACTATGGGGCACATGACTGTATAGTCAAATGGTTGACAACCACTGCTGTAAAGTGTCCCATCATTTTACCCTCATTATTTGAAATAAAAAGGAAATTGATTTAAAAAGTACCCTTCCTACCAGAGGGAAAGTCATCAATGGATATTAAAACTGGTAGGTGAAAGTTTGACTAACAAAAGGATATTTACATAGTCTCACCCCCACTTATTCATTACAAAGGGAAAAATAGGTGTGGAGTGAGAAAACGGTAAAGGTGGTCAAATACATAGTGACAGAGATTTGACTTTGGGTGGTGAACACGCAATGCAATACAGATGACATAGAACTCAACGCTTGAACCCTATATTATTTTATTAACCAGTGTCACCCCAATAAATTTAATTAAAAAAAAAATTAAGTGCCCTTCTGTGTGAATAAAATATTAGAGAGCAACTGTCCATGGTGAAATAGGACACAGATACATCAACCTCTCCCTGGACATGCTTGAAGATATCCGACCTTCCCTAGATTGATTTTTTTACCATAATAAATTCCTTTGTTCTAGGAAACATTACCATCCTAATCCAGCTAAACACAATGACTATATAAAACTAGAGAGAGAGATGAGGTAGACTGTGGATAACAGCCACCTGCTTGAACCTTACCTTCTAGACACTTACCTGAAACTGGTTAATAAAAGGTGCTATATTTAACCCAAGAGTTCGTGCTGTTCCTTGAACAGAACTCTCTTCTACCAATGTCTGTGACTCCACAAGCAACCCAAACATAAGCACATACTGAGGGAAGATCTTGCCTCCAGATTGTAGCAAACACCTAGAGAAGGAAAAAATTTAAAAAGCATCCTGATTCCCTATATATTATAAATAAATACCAATAACTGAATCCTGATTAATTAGTGAGCTACTGATTGTATAAAGTCTAATGGACTTTATGTTATTGGCTTGTAGTTCAGAATGGTAAACTACTAGAAATAACTTCTCGACAAGTCAAACAATGTGACTGCTGATCTATGAAAGAGAAAAGCAACCAGTCAGCTGGATGGATATGTCTTTAGATTCATAAAGTCATGAATGAATATTAAAATTAGTAGGTGACAGTTTGATTAGGAAAAGGATATTTACATAGTCTCACCCCCCAGAAATGACTTATTCATTACAAAGGGAAAAACAGCAACTTATGTCAAAAAAACTTGGTTGATACAACTTCAATGAACTGATCTAAATTAACAATAATAATGGAATAAAGTAACACTATGTACCTCCTGATGTGACAAAACTTCTGTGGTGTTCCTCTCTAAAATGGATAAACTGAATCTAATAAAGAAAACATGAACATTTCCAAAATAAATGGCCCACTTTCTTCCAAACTAACATCATGGAAGATGGAGGAACTATTCCAGAATAAAAGAGACTAAGGAAACATGAAAACCAAATGCAATGTGTGAATCTGGGTGTAGATATGTTAAGTTCTTTGTACTATTTAACTTCCCTATAAGCTTAAAATTATTTCAAAATAAGAAGTTAAATACTGAAAGAAAAAAAAAAGATTAAAAAGCCAAGTGCTCTAGTAAACAAAGTAAAGGGTTAACAAAACCCTTTCTCCTACAATTGATCTTGGGTTCACCTTCTGTTTGCCTGAAAATCCTAAAAGGCTGGAAGTTGACTGTTATCAGCAACACTGCTATGAAGATTAAAAAAAAAAAAAAAAATTAATGTTAAAAGGTAGATTGCATCTAGACTGAGAGAACTATGAACAAACTCTAAGTGCCTGATGGGAAACCACACTACCTTTGGGCTTCTCTGAATGTGGAATAACCTGCAGCCAAGTGTTCCTATCGCTTGGACTTGGAAACTATGTCTATGAGAGATACCAGTTCTTACATGAAATTTAGGGCTCTTAAGCAAGGCAGCTTCCATACCTACCTGTATGGTCTGTTTCCTGATACCTGAACTGTGTGAGAGATGTGGGGGGTGGTGGGTGGGTGAATGAAAGAGAGGGAGAGGAAACTTTAAACCAAATAATTATTTTCATTTGTCGCATTTACAATCAAACATTAAATCCCTCAATTTTACTGAATATTCCAAGCTGGTTTCAATCTGAATTTCCAGATTGGTGAAGAAGAAAAGCAATAAAAAGTATATTACTGGGACAGAAGGGAAAGTAATAAAACAAGACTATATATTAAATAATAGTATTTTATCAATGCTAAGTTTCCTGAGTGTGATCATTTTAGTGTGTTATGTAGAGGAAAACCTTTATTCTAAGGAGACACCTGCTAATTGTTAAAATAAGGGTTAAAGTTATGAAATTGACCTCTATCAAATGGTTCAGCAAACAAAGTTGTAGTAAGTTGTAATAAGTCCTGTATACAGATTAGCCTAAAATGGACCCTACCCTAACACAATGCTTTACTCATCTGTCATTCCTTTCCAACTTAACTTTTTAGCATTTTAGGTAAAGTCTAGTAGAAACTGAATATCCATAATTGTTAAAATTACACATCTCTCAACAAAATTACATAGCTCTTAACAAAATTTCTATCTATGCCTTTACCAAACCAGATAAAATTTTAACCCTAGTCACAAGAGGGTACCATTCTATGAAATTAGCAAGCTGAAATTTGTTTTTATTTACCCTAAATGTCTTATCTATCCCTACATATCTGTACTTAATTTCCTATACTACATATAGGTAGTCCAATCCCAAAGTAGGCTCTCTTCACATCTACAGTGCAGGGGGGCCTTTAGGGATAAAAAATTAGTAATGCCATGCACACAGAGAAAGGAATGAGGTCACAGGTCCTGAAAAGAAATACTTGAGGAACACTACAAGATCATGACTCATTTGCACAGTTATGCCATTAAAAAAATTTTTTAAAAAATTAATAAAGTTTGAGCTCAAAAAAAACCCAAGTTTATACTTTGTGTTTTACCTAGATATTAAA